TCTTATTAGATTGTATATTTACAGAAGTTTACGGTATACAGACTATACAATAAGAAATCAAAACAATAAGAAAATTTGCACTTAAAGTTAATTTTAACACTAGTTAGGAAGAAAACTATGCTGTATTAAATTACTTTAAAACCTACCTCTTTGTACAGAAGACGTACTTGACTGAGGAGTTTTCTCTTGATTCTCCTTCTTGACATCCATGGAATCTAATAAAAAAGAAAATAGCAATAGTGAGAGGCCACAGCAACAGCTTGAAAGAGCACTCAGAAAAATATAAATTAAAAAATGTTAAATAGCCAATTTTAGTTTTTTAATACCCTCATTTTCTACGTAGGACTTACCACTTTCTAATATACTATGCATTTTATAATTTGTTCATTTATTTTATTGTCTCACTCTACTCAAATGAAATCTCTAAAAGGGTGGAGATTTATTTATTTTATTGTCTATCTCATTCACTGTGGTATCCTCAAGTGCCTAAAACAGGACCTGGCATCACAACACTCTCAAGCATTTGTTAAATCAATGCATCAGGCCGTGCGCGGTGGCTCATGCCTGTAATTCCAGCACTTGAGGAGGCCAAGGCAAGCAGATCACATAAGGTCACGAGTTTGAGACCAGCCAAGCCAACATGCAAAACCCTGTCTCTACTAAAAACACAAAAAATTAGCCAGGCATGGTGGCAGGCGCCTGTAATCCCAGCTACTCAGGCAGCTGAGACAAGAGAATCACTTGAACCCGGGAGGCAGAGGTTGCAGTGAGCCAAGATAGCGCCATTGCACTCCAGCCTGGGTGACGGAGTGAGACTCCGTCTCAAAAAAAAAAAAAAAAATTCAGTGCATCAATAAATCAAAATGAGCTGATTGATCTTTACAATGTTTAAATTAACATGTCCTAGAAACAAAATGGATGGTTTTGAGAGTTCAAAACATAACAGAGAAGCTACAATACAGTGTAATTCAATGGACTGCGCAGAGATTTTCTTGGTGCTAAGCTAAAGAGCTCAAATAACACTGGACCTTGTAACCTCACCAAATCTAAGATGTACCATTTCATCCACATGTATTATAGTATCTCTAAAAGGATTCATTTTTTAAAATTTAAGCATAATACTTTTATTACATCTAAAAAATTAACCATAATTCCTTAAAATCATCAAATAACCAGTGTTCATATTTCCCCAATTGTCTTAACTATTTTCAGTGTGTGTGCTTGATTCAGAACCCAAATAAGTCTACACACATAGCAATGGTTGATATGTCTCTTAGGCCTCTTTTGATCTACAGGCGTTTTCCTCCTTTCTTCTCATTTTTATTCTTTCCCTTTACAATTTTTTTGCTGACAATACCAGTTGGTTGGTCCTTTCAAGTTTTCCCGTCTGGATTTTGCTGACTACCTCCCCACAGAGTTGGGTTCCTCTGGTTCTTGTATTTTCTTTAAATTGGCATTCATATTTCAATCCAGAAGAGTTTGGTCAGATTTAAGATTGGCTTTTTGGTGGGACAGGAGAGGATAAGATGACTTCATAGGTGGTGGTGTGTATTTCTCACAGGAGGCTCCTAATATCTAGTTATCTCTCTTTTCGTGATGTGAACAGTCGTGGATGACTATTGCCTAGATCCATTCGTTTATGAATGGTTGCAAAATGAAGGTATTCTAATTCTATCGTTCTTTATTAGCCAGAAAACTTCTATAGAGAGAAGCTTCCATGCTTCAACCATTCAGTTACCTTAAGGCACGGATCACATAGAGAAATCACAATCAACACTTTATTATTTTCCTGTATTTTCTAGTTTTCAAAGTGATGAGCTAGATCTCTAGTATTCTCCACAGATGACCAGTAAGCTTTATTTGTTTTGCTTTTTATTATCATTATGAACTCATGGATTTAAACTTGTGTTTTCATCTGTTGCTGTTTTACCCTTATTGATGTTCTAATTGTCAAGTGAAAAACTTCTTAAAGAAGGATCTAAGAATGATGCCATTCAACGTAACAGATCTACTTACTAGTTATGACTGAGTGACTCTTCAAGATATGTGAACACTTGAGAGGGACATATGAGCTGCTTTCTGTTTAAATGATTTCAACTGAGTGGTTGAAGAAAGGTAGTTCCTCTATATAGAAATTTTCTGGCTAATGAAGAATGACAGAATACCTTCATTTTATAACTACTAATAAATGAATGGATCTAGGCAATAGCCATCCATGACTTTTTGTGATTTTCACATCAAAAAAAGAGATAACTAGGCTGGATGCAATGGCTCACATCTGTAATCCCACCATTCTGGCAGGCCGAGGAGGGAGGATCGCTTGAGGCCAGGAGCTTGAGGCCAACCTGAGCAACAAAGTAAGATCCAGTCTCCACAAAAAAAAATTTTTTTTTAATTAGCCAGGTGTGGTGGCACACATCTGCAGCCTCACCTGCCTGGGAGGCCAAGGCAGGAGGATCACTTGAGCCCAGGAGTTTGGGGTTACAGTAAGCTGTGATTACGCCACTGCACTTCAGTCTGATAATTTCATCTCTGTAAAAAAAAATATGTTTAAAAAAAAGGTCAGGCACAGTGGTTCACGCCTATAATCCCAGCACTTTGAGAGGCCAAGGCGGGAAGATCACTTGAGGTCAGGAGTTCGAGAGCAGCCTGGCCAACATGGCAAAACCCTCTCTCTACTAAAAATACAAAAAATTAGCCAGGCGTGGTAGCTCACATCTGTGGCCCAGCCTCTCAGGAGGCTAAGGCAAGAGGATCACTTAAGCCCAGGAGGCAGAGATCGCAATGAGCCATGATCATGCCACTGCCCTCCAGCCTGGGCAACAGAGCAAAACCCATCTCAAAAAATAAAATAAAAATAAAAATTGTAAAGAAGACAGAGATAACTACATATTAGGAGTCTACTGTGAGAAATACACAACACCGCTTATGAAGTCATCTTATCCTCTCCTCCTCCACCAAAAAGCCAAACTTGAATCTGTACAAAAAAAGTACAAATTTATATTTACTAAATAGTTCTACAGAAAGATTTTTCTAATAGAAAACAAAGTAAAACTGTAAAGGCATGCTTAGCTTCTAGAGAAGCTAAGAATCTAGTTAAGAGACTACACTAAACTGATACACTTAAAATTAGAGAACAGCATTTAGTACTCAGCATTCAGCCAGAGGAAAAGTCATGAGAGATACAGCACTTAAAGGAGAAACAGGATATAGGAAGGCCAATGTGTAAAGAATGTATTATGGGAAGGAAGATACAACACAAAGTTGACTGCAAATGAGTGTGGCATATTCATGGAATAGTGAGCAGACTTCTCATAGAGCAAAACAGGATAAAACATTTTTTAATCACTCTTTGGATTCTAATCTTGGCTTTGTCACAAACTGTTGTATGACCTTAACCTCCCTAAGTTTCAGTTTTCTCATTTATATAACTAGCAAGGAAAGACAGAGACCTTTAATAGCTATTCAGTTATAAAATTCAAATTCTAAGCACCTAGCATCTCCTATAAATTTATTTTTAAAGGCTTTATTTCAAAAGTTCAGTATACCAGAAGATATTCATTCCAAATGAGTAACTAAAAACATTATTACCTTTAGCAAGTAAATCTTACCTTCATTCACTGTTTGTCCCATGGTATCCGTATTTGGTGGTGTTTCCTACAGGGAGAAAAACCAATTAATGCCTCCTTTTAGCATAATACATTTCTGAAGGGTAAAGAGCATTAGAAGTCAGTTATAAGGCCAGATCAATTTAATCTGTTTCCCTTGAAGAAAAATGATAAGATTTGTATATGCCTAGTTGCCTGGGAATGGAGGAAGAAGGAATTGAGGGATGACTGCTAATGGGCATGAGTATGGGTATGAAGTTTCCTTTGTGGGGTAATGAAAGTGTCCTAGAATTAGATAGTGGTGAAGGTTGTACACCTTGTTGTGAAAATACTAGAAATCATTGAATTATATACCTTAAAAGGGTGAGTTTTATGGTATGTAAATTATGACTCAATTTTTTAAATTAATTGAGTAAAAAGGAACAGTTGGTAGGTTAGCAAAGTTAGGATTCAAACTGAGGCCTATCCCAGGAAGCCCACTTCTGCTACATCATGTTGCCAGGAGGTACAAGAATTATGACTATGTTGGGAAAACCTGTAAGAACTGCAAGAGTCAAGTCTAACAAGAATTATTTGTTAGAAGCCTTGTGTATTTTGAGCTATAATTCATTAATTCAAAGTTTTCCTGCATGTCCTCAATATGTCAGGCATTCTGCAGCAAAGATAAATAACAGACTGTCCTTGGCCTTCAAGATCTCAGTCTAGTCAGAAATAAGCATATGAACAAAACACAACGTAAGTGCTATTTAAAAAATGTACATGGATAAACCTAATATAGCAAAAGGCTATCTATCCTGCCATTACTCCATGTGTCTGTAATAAGAACATGATGATGTGTATAACTGAAGGTAATCTGGCACTTAAAGGAAACCTATGAAGAATACATTCATAGGCTGGGTGCAGTAGCTCATGCCTGTAATCCTAGCACTTTGGGAGGCCAAGGCGGGTGGATTTCTTGAGCCCAGCAGTTTAAGATTAGCCTGGGCAAAATGGCAAAACCCTGTCTCCACAAAAAGTAAAAAAACAAATTAGCTGAGCATGGTGGCACACGCCTGTAGTCCCAGCTACTTGGGAGGCTGAGGTGGGAGGATCACCTGAGCCTGGGGAGGTCAAGGCTGCAGTGAGGCAAGATTGCACCACTGCACCCCAGCCTGGGCATAAGAGTGAGACCCTGTCTCAAAAAAAAAAAAAAAAAAAAAAAAAAAAAAAAAAAAAAAAAAAGGGTGATGGCGCACGCCGGAACTCCCAGCTGCTCGGGAGGTTGAGGTACAAGAATCACTTGAGCCTGGGAGGTGGAAGTTGCACTGAGCTGAGATTGCGCCACTGCTCTCCAGCCTGGGAGATAGAGCAAGACTGCCTCTTAAAAAAATAATAATAAATAATGAAGCCAGCTAGAGAGCCTTCTGTACCTCTGATTCAACAGACCTACACCCAAGCATCACTTTCCCAAAACCTGCTTCTTCTGCATCTTTCTCTTACACTACCTAGGCGTTCGGGCTGCCGGCAGGAGTGCCACAGTGAGAGGCACTGGCAGGGAATGTGGAAAGGAGCGCTGGTCCCCAGCCCCAGGCCAAAAGCCTTGGTTTGCCCACTAGGATTGTTTTAAGAAAATGGCAAACAAACCAGACATGGGGGAAATTGCCAGCTTCAATAAGGCCAAGCTGAAGAAAACAGAGATGCAGGAGAACACCCTGCCGACCAAAGAGGCCACTGAGCAGAAGCAGAGTGAAATTTCCTAAGCACCTAGAGGATTCCCTACCCCTGTCATCTTCAAGACCGCAGTAGTGATGTGGAGGAAGAATCACCGCCAGACGGACACAAGCCACAAGCTGTGCTGTGAACCTGGGCACTCCACGCTGATGCCACCAGCCTGAGGGTCCCTATGGGTCCAATCAGACTGCCAAATTATCTGATTTGCCCCAGGATATTATAGAAAATTATTTGCACGAAATTAGCCAGGCGTGGTGGCAGGCGCCTGTAGTCCTAGCTACTTGGGAGGCTGAGGCAGGAGAATGGCGTGAACCCGGGAGGCAGAGCTTGCAGTGAGCCAAGATAGCGCCACTGCACTCCAGACTGGGCGACAGAGCGAGACTCCATCTCAAAAAAAAAAAAAGAAAACAAAACAAAACAAAATTATTTGCATGAATAATGAAAACACAGATCATGGCAAAAAAACAAAATAAAATAAAAATGCACTAGTTAGTTGGGAAAAATTTAGTAATTCCCTCTGGGCTTCCTAGTAGAAAAAAGCAAAAAGGAAAACACTTGGGTTATATACAAAGAAATTCAGAAAAAGACAAACATTTCCGTAGGACCAAATACTAGGAAAAATCTGCAAAGATTCTGATGTAAAAGAATATTGATGGCCAGGCGCAGTGGCTCACGCCTGTAATCCCAGCACTTTGGGAGGCTGAGGGGGGCAGATCATGAGGTCAGGAGATCGAGATCATCCTGGCTAACACGGTGAAACCCCGTCTCTACTAAAAATACAAAAAACTAGCCGGGCGTGGTGGCGGGCACCTGTGGTTCCAGCTACTCGGGAGGCTGAGGCAGGAGAATGGTGTGAACCCGGGAGGCAGAGTTGCAGTGAGCCGAGATCGCACCACTGCGCTCCAGCCTGGGCAACAGAGCGTCTCAAAAAAAAAAAAAAAAAAAAGGAAAAAAGAATATTGACTAATTTAATAGAAACTATCTTTGACTATAACTTGAGAAAAAATAAAAGGTTCTATTGTCCCTCTTAAAATGCATTACACTGTAACTCACCTGTCTTTCAGTCACAAGGATAGACGTTACAGATGTTAAAGAAAGAGAAGATTACTATAATCTATTGGTAAAGGATGGATAGTATCAACGGATTCTTAGTTGAATCCTCAGAGTGTCTCAAATAGAAATATATGGTGGCAATAGAGGCAGACAGCACAGCTCTTTCTGGGAAAAATTAGAAGCCTGACATTCTTTTAGAAATGAAGACACATCTCATTTCCACCGTGGTAGTCTGCAAGGAAAACTGCAAAAAAGCTTATCTTTGCTTTCAATATACTTTGAACCTGCTTCGGCATTATAAGAAAGGTTCAAAAAAGACCCTCAAATAACTTTCCTCGATACATGGGAGAAAAATTTTTGGTTTTAAAAAAAGTTAAAAGCTTCAGGCTTTTGTTTTTGTTTTTGGCAACATAAAGAGTAGAAGTTGCTTCACTTAATGCATATTAGGAGCAATTCCACTGTGTGAAAAAACATTCAAATATAAGTAAGCCTTAAAAAAAAAAAAAGGTTAGGTTAATAGTACTTCATAGTGTCTGACATTGAAATTTCATTTACCAAAAGACTACAGTTGGGCTGGGCACAGTGACTCATGCCTGTGATCCCAGCACTTTGGGAGGCCAAGGCGGGCAGATCACTTGAGGTCAGGAGTTCAAGGCCAGCCTGGCCAACATGGTGAAACCCCATCTCTACTAAAAATACAAAAATTAGGCCGGGCGCGGTGGCTCAAGCCTGTAATCCCAGCACTTTGGGAGGCTGAGACGGGCGGATCACGAGGTCAGGAGATCGAGATAATCCTGGCTTACATGGTGAAACCCCGTCTCTACTAAAAAATACAAAAAACTAGCCAGGCGTAGTGGCGGGCGCCGGTAGTCTCAGCTACTCGGGAGGCTGAGGCAGGAGAATGGCGTGAACCTGGGAGGCGGAGCTTGCAGTGAGCTGAGATCCGGCCACTGCACTCCAGCCTGGGCTACAGAGCGAGACTCCGTCTCAAAAAAAAAAAAAAAAACACAAAAATTAGCCAGGCATGGTGGCAAGCATCTGTAAGCCCAGCTACTCAGGAGACTGAGGCAGGAGAATTGCTTGAACCCAGGAGGTGGACGCTGTAGTGAGCCGAGATCATGCCACTGCGCTCCAGCCTGGGCGACAGAGCAAGACTCCATCTCACAAAAAAAAAAAAAAAAAAAAAGACTATGGTTATACTTAATCTAGCAGTTTTATCTAGAAGCTCTGAACAAGTATGGACAATCTGCAATCTTTTACACAACCATTTGTTTTGCAGATTGTATCTTGTTACAGAATTAAGAGCTGAAAAAAGATCAACAAATGCTTTGAAAACTCTTGTTTTAAACCATTTTCTCAATACAATTAAACAATGTAAACAGTGATTAATAGTGGAATTATTAAGCCTAAAACCCCCATTACTCTTATCTGATTCTGGAGAAAATTCTACAGTCTGTTGAGAAAAACAGTTTTAAAGTACTATTTAGCAAATTAATGGGTCTATAATTCTAAGGTTACAGGGCCTTTCCATTATTTGTTTATTTTCTGGGGTTTTTTGTTTGGAGAGTTTTTTTCTTTTTTTCTTTTCTTTTCCCTTTATTTTTTATTTTTTTCTTTGGTGTACCCCACCTCCTTTTTTTTAAATTTTGTTTTGTTTTTAAGATAAAGTAAGCTACACCTTGAGTCTCTAATTAAAGATCACTGCCTGGAGAGTAGTGATCTTCAGTAAGGGTAAACATTTTGGCAAGGACAGGAACTAAACAAATCTGACAGCAAGAAATCTCCCAGGTTCTAGGTTCAGTTCAGTTTCACTAGGGGAAAAAATAGAGAGAGAAAGATTTCCCACGGCCTGTTTCAACTTTAGGCCATTGGTCAGATGTTATAAAATGAATGCAACTGTAGAATTTCAACCTGAGAGAACATAAGAATCAACAAAATACGGCCAGGCGCAGTGGTTCACGCCTATAATCAGGCATTTTGGGAGGCCAACGCAGGTGGATCACGAGGTCAGGAGATCGAGACCATCCTGGCCAACATGGCGAAACCCCGCCTCTACTAAAAAATACAAAAATTAGCCAGGTGTGGTGGCAGGCACCTGTAATCCCAGCTATTCCAGAGGTTGAGGCAGGGAGAATTGCTTGAACCCGGGAGGCAGAGATTGCAGTGAGCAGAGATTGCACCACTGCACTCCAGCCTGGGCGAAAAGAGCGAGACTTTGTCTCAAAAAAAAAAGAAAGAAAGAAAAAGAAAAGGAAAAAAAAAAACCTGGGCCAGATCATGATCACACCTGTAATCCCAGCACTATGGGAAGCTGAGGCCAGAGGATTGCTTGAGCTCAGGAGTTCGAGACTAGCCTGAGCAACACAGTGAAACCCTGCCTCTTTTTAAAAAAAGAAAAAAAATAAAAGTAAAATTAAAAAAATAAAAATACAAAACCAAACTCTCATTCCCTGTGACTCATGGGAAACTTAAAAAATAAAAAACTTTTTAAAAGACCAAGTGCAGTGGCTCACGCCTGTAATCCCAGCACTTTGGGAGGCCAAGGCAGGAGGATCGCTTGAGCCCAGAAGTTCAAGACCAGCCCGGGCAACACAGTGAGACCCTGTCTCTAAAAATAATAATAAAACAATAAATGCATAAATAACCAAATTCTTGCCATCAAAATGAGCTCCTCTTCCTCTGCATTTTATTTTAAAAGCATTACAAACCCTCAATCTTTCTGAATCAGAAGTCATCTCTGACTCCTCTCCTCTTGTGTCTTAGCAGTTACCAAGTAATTTTGATTCCTCAAGGTCAGGAAGCTGGTAGTGAAAGAAAAATGATTCAAACCTAAGTTTGTCAAATGCCAAAAGACAAAGCTCCAACACACTATACATGCTTTGAAAGGGAGAAATAAGGAGTGATATGGTTTGGTGTCCCTACCCAAATCTCATATTGAATTGTAGCTCCCATAATTCCCTCATGTTGTGGGAGCGAACCGGTGGGAGATAAATGAATCACGAAGGTGGTTTCTCCCACACTGTTCTCATGGTAGTGAATAAGTCTCAGGAGATCTGATGGTTTTATAAAGAGAAATGCCTTTCACCTGGCTCTCAGTCTCTCGTCTGCTGCCCTGTAAGACATGCCTTTCACCATGATTGTGAGGCCTCCCCAGCCAGGTGGAACTGTAAGTCCATTAAACCTCTTTTTCTTATAAACTGCCCAGTTTCAGGTATGTCTTTATCAGTAGTGTGAAAACAGACTAATACAAGGAGATATTGTAATATACCAGATACCCTAGAAAAAATGGATCCATGAGGGCAGGAGAAAACAGAAGTTATGTTCCCAGAGATCCAATGATAATGGTGTTGGCAGTGGTGATAATAATACTTAGATCTGTTACCTACTGAGCTCTTGCTATTAATGAATGCCTGGTACCCTACCCTAAGGCTTTTATATATATTTTTTCTTATCTAAAGCTTATTACAAGCCTACAGAGTAGATACTGTTAATAATGTCCATTAATGTTCATTTAAAAGTTAAGGATACTGAGGCTCAAACACCTGCCCAAGATCACCCAGCTAGATTTGAATCTAGGTTCATGAATACTTAACCATTGTGCTAAAATTGCCTTTGTTGTGTTTAACTGTGTAAGTGCCTTTTCTCCTCTGATAGACAATAAGCTACTGGGTGCAGTATCACATCTTGTTCTTCCTTATATCCTTCAGAATAATGAGCACAGTGTCTATCACATACTAGGGTCCCCAAAATGTTTGCTGAATGAGTAAACTCTGCTGTGCTATAGGCTGCTTGTATCTAAACCATATAGAACCAGAATATTGCAGGGGTTTTTTTTGTTTTTTTTTTTTTTGAGATGGAGTCTCGCTCTGTCGCCCAGGATGAAGTGCAGTGGAGTGATCATAGCTCACTGCAATCTCAACCTCCCCGGGCTCAGGTGATCCTCCCACCTCAGCCTCCCTAGTAGCTGGGACTACAGGCACACACCACCATACCTGGCTAATTTTCGTATTT